AATTTTATGTATATACAAGTAATGCTTCCTTGTTCATCCACAGAGGAAAATAAACAACATATATGATAAAAGTCTAGGGCTTTCTGTTCATAACTTAAGATTGAAGAACATTTTTATTTATATATAAAAACACATATTTAGAGCTGTTTTCACAAAAATAACTAGGAATTTTAGATAATAAGGCCACCAGGAGCCTAACTTGTCGAAAAATAAATATCTTTGTATCAATAATGTTAAATGAATTTGCGAATGCAAGAAGTGAGAGGGGTTCGGGGGTCTGCCCTGGAAATATATTGAATGTGTATGCTTTGAAATACGGTATAGTACCTATAATTAGGTTGTGAAAATTTCAACTTTCTTTCCTCAAGTGTTGTTGGATCGGTTTCCTAGCTTGTCCTGTAAGTCGATACCGGTTCGTAACAAGTCTGGATATGCATGCATAAGCAGATGACGCTTATCTTGCGGACACATTCAGTACCTCTCAGTTAGTAGATAATATTAAGTTACCATAAGGGTTTTTTTCTCCTTGTAGGTATCTTTGAAAAGTGTTTTTAATATATAGGAATAGTCAATTCCTTTACGCTAAGCACGCACCACTGTTGAGACTTTCGTTCAGCTCGAACCTTAAAAATATACCTCGGCGTATCTAAAACAATTAAGGGATGAATATTATACAATTATGGCCCGTAGAGAAGGTGAATATCCAAAATTGTGAACACGAAATAATTTTTTAGGGTTGACAATTTTGGATATTCATCGCTTCTAAGGGGCCACAATTGTTTTATTATACCGAACTAACAGTGGAAGGGCCTTTTAAAGCATTGAAAAAGCACTTAACCTACTGTATCGTAACAAACACTGTAGTAAACGTTCGAAAATAAATTTGTGTCTTAGAATTTCTCGTATGTACAACAAAGGTAGAATCTTTTTGTAAAATATTGATGGCCCTAAAAAGGACCGTTTATAAGAGATATCCTCGGCACTAGATGCATTTCCAAAGCCTTGTATACTCGTCAATTGATGGGCTTCCTGCAACTTGAACGTTGCCATTTTTTTTACCTACGTCTGTGACGTCATTTTCATGGGAGATAACTCGTGTACAAATCAAGAAACTCGAAAGGTTTATAGGGTTATTCACCGCTGGTGTAAAATTTTAGGGTTATTCGTCCCTCCTTGTAATTAAATGAAAATTAACTGAATTATTCCATGTCATGTGATAACGTGTTACCCAATAGAATTGTTTATAATATATGTAAGGTATAAAAACATTCATTGTTTCTATCTAGACGCTATTTAGACATTGCGTGGCATTGAAACGTTGAAACACAACACATTTAAATCAGGATTTATTTCGGGATTTGTTCTGTTTATACACAAATTTTGGTCTATTAAATTGTTCATACATTTTGACGGTCATTTCGAAAATGGCAACCAGCTAATAATTTTTGACACCGGGAATCAATTCAGAATGGCAAACAATACTTGTGTTTCAATTTTCGTTAAAAATCCCAACATTAAAAGATGGATTCTCAAATTTTGTGTGTTTTTTTTTTAATAAATCTCACTTTCTATCGCTAAATGGGCACTGATAATCAATTCAGAATAGTATAGTACATATAATTTGATTTCGGTCAAGTCCTATAATAGAAAGAGTTTTCTTCAAATGTGATTTTCTTTTATCAAAAACTATTTTTTATCGAAAATTTGACAAAGGGCATCGGTTTTGAATTCCATATTACACCTTGATATAAATTGTCTATGAAAATTAATCCTAGCACATACAGATGAAAATCATGTTTTGTTTACTTTTAACAAAAATTAAATTTTTATCACATTTTCCCCTAATTTTCACATGCCGCAAATTTGAAATCCCCGGATTCAATTATTATTTTAAATGGAAATTCTAGCTCACACAGATATTTCTAATTTTTTTTATAGTTTTTTTATCCAAAAAGTTCCCCCTGTTTTAAATAAAATCATTGACAAGGATTTTCCTTTTATAGATATAGATACTGTTCATAAAAATATTGATATCAGATGAGACAATCTTTACATTTGATACCACATAAAAATGTTGACGGACTGACAGACAGTAATTGCTATAGGGCAACACGAACTAGTCTGCGTGGTCTTATTATAAAACCAGACCAAATTTCATTGAACCGTCATAGCCTAATCGTTATTTTCCCTAACAAAATTGAACCGGAAGAAGTCATTGAAGTTCAGTCTTTCGCCAAACAATTTACATTATAAATTTTCGTATAATTGCAAAACTATTTTAACACTTGCAATGATTTTTGCAAGGACAATAAGCGACACTGGATCTTTCATGATCCTTTTCACGATCACAAAAAGAGGTAACCGATTTTTCAAGATCATAAGTATAAAATTTATATAAATATTCCAATTTGCATTGAGTTATTACAAAATAATTTTGAGAGCCATTTGAAACTTTGATATAGAACAACAAAATTCAGAGATAGTAATTTAGTCATGATTCATTAAATAAAGGAAAACACACATATTTGTTTACATTTTTTATGTCATTGAATTGTTTGGGACAATCTGCCTTTTGTAGTTTTGTAAAAACGGAGATTTTTTAAACTCTGATTTTCTCGGATACTGATAAAAATTTTGAACCATTTTGACAGACAATTTTTTTTTCTTCAAAATTTGTTCTTATAATTCAATAAATTAAATTATTTATTGACCTTGCATGTGTCTTCTCGATTATATTTCCTTCACGATCCCATGCCATATATCTTTCACGATCCTGTCGCAATACTTAAAGTTACATATTTTTACAGGTCTTTTTTTCTAGATATACCGAATGACAGCCGTGAATTTAGTTTGTAAAGTAGTCGTTGGTGGCCAACTTTATCAAATGATTTAGCAAAGTCCATAATGATGAGGTCAGTTTGTATGGTACAATTGTTGCTCAATTATATCTCTTGGATAAAAACAATTAATTGCGACTCACAAGATTGTTTTTTTTTTATCTAAAACCATGTTGAAGATTATATTACATGTAGATGACATATTTTTCTAAATGTGACATTATGTTACTTGTGATAATATGTTCCATGATCTTACAGCAAACATGTGTACGAAATGAGTCTATAATCTACAGGTTTATATTTTCATCCTTTTTTAATGCAGGAGCAACGTTTGCGTGTTTCCAATCTTTCGGTGTTTCGCCTGACTCTATTGACTTACTAAATATTAATTGTTGACACTTGCTTTTATGATTCTTTAAGTACGCTACTATTTATATTGTCAGGTTCACATGCTTAATGTGGGTTATGTTTAGTTAATAACTTTGCGACTCCTGTTTTGCTAATAGATATGTGTGGCACTTCAAGATGTAGGCTAAAAAAAACCAAAAACAAACAAACAAACAGATGTTCACCTACCGAGAAAACCCAATAAAAAAAAAGAAATAGCCAATAGTGCTGAATGTAGCGTTCAAGACCAAAAAATCGATTAATCAATCATGTGAGTATTGCTCTTCAATTCTTTGTAATATAAATATACATATTCTAAGGCCTTCCTGTGGATATGGTGCTGATATTCGTTATCAAAATATGGAATTTGTCATTGCAGATAAAATATCTACTTTGGTCCAGCATATCCCACAAGTTTCCTCCGTTTTACTCCGGTAGATGAACTATATTGTTATATGACATTTCTTTTTTTATTCCGCACTTTTTGATAACACGCGGAGATAACTTGACCAATCGTTATTAGAAATGAACTGTTTTTGGTGTCATAATATCCTACTGTGTACCAGATCGACAAGCTTAGTCGGATTTTCAAAGGTCTAGATCACATAGTAATACCAGTAGTCTGCACCAAGAATGTCACCCCTCCCTTCTCGGACACACAGTTCTCACTCCGAGCGGACTTTTTCTTTGATCTTACTCCTAAATGTCGCGTACTTAGTAGGGAAGCAATAACTACATGTCATAAACATTTTGCTTTAGTGGAATGGTAGTATTTTCTGATCCATAGAAATATATTTACCTTATTTAGAATTTTCTCTACTTTCTAACAAGAGCCCATAACCTACATACACAGTTCATTGAATTAATTCCATTATAATATTCCGAAATGCTAGTTTACGTGAATATGTATAACAACCGTCATCCTAAGCCACTTGCATTTATGCTAGTAGTCTGTCAGTGTTTGGCAGCCTTTTTAAATGCAGTTAATACAAAAAAAAAAAAAAAAAACCAATAAAGCCAACATTTTCACCTGCTTGTAAATTTATTTTTTATTTTGTACACCCAATTCGTCCTTCATCTGGATAAGGTGTGTTCAGTTGATACTGCATAGCATATTTGGTTCAATCACAGATTTTACATATACACTAACCTTGGTAGGGTTAACAAGAACAACCTAGTTTCCGGAAAGTAAATATCACACGGCCAGCAATCAAAGCCATGTCTTAATTCAATTCAACATTACAGTAAGGTCAGACTTAACTGTTTCTCTTCTAGAAAAGACCACTCTTTAAGATTTTGAAAGTCGTTTAGATTTAAGATGGAACATTACAAATAATGTTTAAATATCCATCATCTTCTTAAACTGTCAACCAAAGAAATCTACAAAAATTTGTAATCAACTTATCCTTAATTTGGGCGAAACAACCATAAAATGTTTGCCACTTGACGTTAAACAAACAATAATCAATAAGATTATTTTTTTGTCAAATTAGAATTATTGAAACATCGCAATTACAGCAAATTAACTAAAATAAACATTCACAAAATCATTAAACAATCATTAAACAAATGCCTCTCGATAAACAGTTACTGTATGCAAATGTCTTTGAGAAAAAATTCAAAATTCTTAGATAAAACTGAATGTTTGTCAGGAGAAACCATTTTCTACCTCAAACACCATGTCTATGGTGTTTACTTAATGTCTACATGATCAATATTTTAATTTGCCAGTTGATCATGACCTTACCTGGAGTATTACGAATCATCTATATTTAGTAACAAGTAACAGTAGGCTTTGTGGTTAACAACATCTGTAATATAAAATGAAGAAGATGAAGCAAGTATTGATTCCAACTTGTTTTCAAACAACGCATTCGAGAATGTCGAGTCAAACTTTATATGGAATACAAACAATTCAAAACGAAATATACTGCAGTAATAGTGAGGATTATACAGTCGTAAGCTCGGAGCAAAATGAAGTACTTCATCAAAGATGTTCATCTAAATCTTCCGGAACTAGCTCTGTTGACACTTTTACAATCAAAGCGCGCATGGAAAATTTGGAAATAGCACTGACAATGCTTAATGAAAATTTTCAACGCATGGAAAATGCTATGAATAAACAAATAGAAAGAGCTATAGAAATTATTATAGGAACAACAGAAAAAGTCGAAAAAGAAGAAACAGTGTTACGAACTAAAGATAAATACTTTATGAAAAGTGAAAACAAAAAGTTAATGAAAGCAGTAAAGTTTCTAACAGAAAGTTCTAGGATTATGAGAACAGCTTTATCAGAGCACACAAAATTTATAGACCATATTACGAGTGTCATTAACCAACCTACAGAGGTAAACATTAACATGCATTTTTATAGCAAATTTATGTTTACTTTTAGTCTCTTATGTTGTCATTCGTTTTTATGATATATGATGTTGTTTGGGTTCACTGCAAAACAAGGATCAGGTTCAAAATCAAAACTTTCCTGTGATCGTTATGGTCGGTTATTAAAAAACATGAGACAATGAACCGCAGAGAGAAATTTGGAAAATTAGTAAAAAAAATCATGGTTTGCAGGTTTTGTTTTGTCTTTCTTTTTAATTTTGTGCATCTTTGGCAAATTTGTCTTAGTTTCTAAATCTGTAAGGTCTTTTTTATGTAAAGTATTCCATATTAGTACAATTTTTACTAGCCTTTTGAGTGTAACTAGAATATGTCTGGTCTTCGGTTACATGGTTTAAAAGAATTGGCTTATTAAAATTTTGTCAGCAAATTGTACAAAATTTTGTAAGCAAATTGCACAAAATTTTTGGATCTATAGCATTTTGAAATTTTGAAATGACTGAATTTCTGTTACTCTTTAAGGCCTATAACATGTATATTTTGATTAAAGTCCTTTGGATAACAAAAACATCGTGCATTACACTTGCTACCTATGCGGTTATATTTATAGTTCTTTGCATTGATCGATTTAACCTCACTAACAAAACATGAAAATCAATGAAAATTTACATTTGATTATAAACCAAACTGAATGAATCATCTGAATAATTTAGAAAGTATATCCTGTGTTTATAGTTTTCTTTGTGTAATGGGGAATAAAAGGCAAACTTCAAACAAATAGTACATGTTCACAGATTATCTTGACATGTCCCGTTTTTACTGTTTATCTAGTTGGTTAATTGCATTGGCCAATGAGTACTAAATCAGGGAATCACAGATGTTGATAGGAGGGGGAGTGTTGTTTGTCAGGAAATCGCAGATGTTGACAGGAGGGGGATGGTGCAACAAGGAATCGCATAGGTTGACAGATTGTGGACGGTGCGAAAGAAAAATCTCAGTAATTATTAACCTCTGATCAAATAATTAATAGCAGGTTGACAAATATTTTGTTCTGATTTTATCCCCACTCAACTTTGATTACGATAGGAAATGTTCATTTTCTTCAACGTAAAAGCCATATTTGTTTATAAACTATATTTATGCTTTTCTTTTTAAATTAGAAGTTTGCTGCTTTAACATTGATTTGTTTTTACTTAATTCTTTTATTTGGTCGTATAAAACTTGACGTGGCTATGTATTTGTGCATCACACTTTCCTGGTGCAGGTGTGTCCAGAGGTGCAATTTGAACGCATGAAATGTGTAGTGTTATTTTCATTTTGTATACCCTTATATTTATATTTTTGAGTTATTTTGTACTTTATCAGGAAAGTGTATACATTTGTATATGTCATTATGTTTTACTATACTGTACTATCAACTACAAAAACTTTTTTGTTGGTGTCTTTGTTAGATTTATTCGTATGTTTGTTTGGATTTATAAGTCAGTTGTGTTGTATATCAATGATGTATTTTTTCACATTTTTGGCTGTTGGTTCCCAGTCTATTGTCACGTTAACTAATTATGTATGTTGAGGTTGCACTCACAATTTTAAAAATATAACGATAAATAACTGTCATACAAGTAAAAGGTTTAGCTATAGCTATAAAACCATATACAACGTCTGTACCAAGTCAGGAATATGACAATATTTGTTTTCCAGTCGTTGGTTGATATAGTTGAGCGTTTGGTTTTGTCAGGTTTTATGGACTTCTACATTTTTTTAATATACCTTGGAGTTTGGCATTTTATTTAATACATTTTTTATTTGTTACTCGTTTTAGTCTTACTTTAAACTTGCAAAAATGTACCAGTATTCTTTATTCTTAATGGAACTGCACATATTTTCACCTTCGAAATCTATTCGTTTGCTTGGGAATATTTTTTAGACGTAGTGTACTTATCCTATCATTGAGGCGTTTTAGTTCACATTGGACCGTTGCATCACTCTGCGTCCGTGTTCGTCCGTCATCAAACTGTTTTCAAATCTTTTCTTCTGAAACCACCATGGTCAATCTATACAAAACAGCCATAATCATCATTATGTTATTCAGTTTTTACAAAAAATAAGAAGCATATGCCCACCAAATAAAAAAACAAAACACGATCGCTGTCGCTGAAATAGAGCAAGAAGGTCAAATCATGCTATAGCAAAAATCTTCAAAATTATAACAGACAGAAAACAGTCACCTCAAAAACACCGACACGTCATAATCTAGGATTCGTTCTATTGGTTCGAATTCGTTAATCAATTGCTTATAGAAGTAACTGTTCTTAAAAGATTATTTTACTCAATATTTGCCTTTTTGATGATTAAAAAATGACCAACAAGGTAAGATCTACTGTACAAGTAACCTAATATGAACGTTGTCATCAACCGACTTCTTATAGCTGTTATTGTTCTTAAATGACAATACATTGTACACATTTTTTATGCTTTTTGTGTTTTCTTGGAAACAAATAAAAGAAATATAGAAACATCATACACCCAAATTGATCTGCGAACCAAGATCTTAAAATAAATCAAAACATAACCGAAATAGTCAATTAATTCCTTAGTGAGTTATTAACCTTTTATCATTATTCTCCCCTATTTTCCCACACAATAAATATCCATGTTATGCACATCATTCGAAATAAACCAAAGAAATCAATAAAATAGGTGATTTTGTGCTTTGTATATCCTACAAAAGAAAGACTTTGCTCATTTCGATAACTATAACGTCATTTTAAGGTTGTCCCGCTGTTACAATTTTGTTTTGTGCGCATCTGTGAAATCACAGTGCGGATTAACTAGTAATAAAATTTTACAACAGCATTGTACACCATTGACGAAAAATTGTGTCATAAACGTTTTTAACTATGCGTGAAAGAAGATTGTCGGAAGCGTTGTGATTAGGAAGAGAAAAAATATCCCTTTGAGATGCTCAGCTCCTATAAAAACCTACTGCCTTCACTGTTATAAGAAATAATAGATGACTTTTAATAATATCAGAAAATTTATACATGCCATAAACTATATGACTGCGGTCTTACTTTCAAAACATCGTCAGTTTTCCCCGTGTCCAATAAAATGTCCCGATGGACGAAATGAAGCAATCGTATATTGCTTCATTTTGTAACAAAAAAGTCAAGTTAAAAATTGTCGATCGACTCCTAATTTTGGTTATCGTCCTTAAAAGACGATGTCTCCCCATTTTTTTTATTCATATTACCTTGAAAACAATAACTGAAAAATAGAAACAGCAAATATGATCTTCAAATAAGGCGAACATGACATTGAAACATTTATGACCGGATTTTTGAAATTTTGATGTATGAAATTCGTTTTCTTGTGAATTTAGGTGTTTTAGTAACTTTCTTCTTATATTTGTTCTTTTAATCTATAGACTGTAATTTCTATTTGGCATATGTTACTTTTTTCATCTTTTAATTCTTTGTGCTTTTATGTATGTTGATATGATACCTTATTTTCAAGTTTTGGATTTGTTGCTTTGGGACCTTCAGACTGTTGCGAAATGAAACGTATTAGATAGACTGAAAAATGTTTCCATAAAGCCTAAACCCCAAGCACCCCGGTTATACTATAAAATTTAGAGAGAACTGTAAACCATAAAACAATGATCAGGAAGGTAGATCTATAAAAAAACAGGAGGCGAAACTCTTCAATGGGCTTCATAAAGGGATTACTATCCAAAACTGATGAATTTACCTTTTTTCAATGTTCTACGTGTGGATCTGGATCAAATCTGGTCACGATCTTACTTCCTGGATGAAACATGGCTGCCACTGTATGTTGCATTTTATTTTTTAAGTGAGCTATTCAGGATCCTTGCAGACTTTAGTTTGCTTGCAGTTTCAGGTCTGTATAGTTTAGTGTTAAAAGATGTTAATAGAAGATGACAATGGTATTGCCCAAAAGTCGGTTCTAGCATTTAATTCGATGAAGAAACTGCAAGCATTTAAAATACTCTATTTCATTAGGCCTATATGTTCCTGAAATATTGATAAATAACTTATTGTATTTCAGCCTGTCCAGGTTCCACTCCAACGAAGGGATGAAAGCCCAGTTGAACGTGTGCTAAACAAATATAAGAAACAGAGAGATAGAATACAAATAATCCATCCTAAACCCGTTAATCCAATGGAAGTATCGGACTACCTGAGCGTGGAAGATACCACTCGAAGCGCCACAACTCAGTCTCCATGCCATTTCTGTAAACTGAACAACAAACAACCAGTTTGGAATAACTCTGTATGGGAACCCCCACAACAACCCACATGTCTATATGTAAATTTTAACAAAGATACGAACGCTATTTTAAAATGTAATTGTAGACTCTGTTCTCTCGCTCCGTTAGTTGACCCAGACGGTGATTACGTCACACTTCTTAAAGATTACATATCTAATGGGAAGTGTAATGCAGCGTATGAATATTACAATAAGACGTCACTTCCTGATTTGACAATACATACAAATGTTAATGAAGATGAACATACCATGTTTACCGAACGAAAAGGAACCTTAGTGTGATTATACAGACAGGCAGGAGATAATTACAAAAGGAAATAGAAATTCATTAAAATACAAATCGCTTGACTTGCAAAAATAAGTATTGAACCAATTACAAACACACTGATTGTAGTGAATGAATTTATAGACTACCTCAACAAACACCAAAGAGAAGTTCTAAAAGGTACACCATGAACAGCTAATTTTATAATCACGAGAAAAACAAGCGGAGGATTGACGATCATTGATAAATGCAGACATTATTTGAATAAATAAGATGATTTAACTAAGAAGCTTCCTCACTCAAAACTGCTTGACAAGTTAATTATATTGTTGAAGTCTTTCTTTTCGTTTATCTTTCGGTGTTTACTGACAGAAAGGCTTATTACATAAATATATCATTTGCAGTAACGCTGTTTTCAATTTAATTTTAAACTAAGTTTTGTTACATAAAATGTACAACGTATAATATAATTCAGAATTCACTTAGGAACTTGCATATGTTTCAACAAAATATACAGCAGAGAAGTAGGCACAAAGATATCAATGAAAAATATAGACCGCAGTACTTTACGAATAAATATAACAATAATTTTGTCCTTCTGTAAATGTATTCTTGGAATAACAAACACCTCATTAAAACAGAGCAGTAACAACAGAGTTGGGGAGATGTCCATCCGAAATGCAAACAGATAAATTCCGTAATTAATCCATATGAATGTTTCACTATTAACAAGTTTGGACTAACAAGGTAAAAATATTTTAGAAGAGGTAATTTAAAATATAGAATTAAACAATCTAGAGTGCCACAGCGGTAAACATTACAAAAAGTTGGTAAAAAGAGAATAAAAAAAACAACAAGTTTTAAATTTCTATAAAAAAAATACATACCGGTAGGAGAATTATTATTAAGCATGAACAAAATGTTTAACTGTAGCAAATTGTATCTTTACAATTATTTCATTAATAATATTGTATAGAAACAGGAAGGCTTTTTAAAAATTCCTCGAGAAAACCGACTATGTTCATCCTACAGTGGGGCTGAAACTCTTTTTATTTTATCCTCTAAAAATAACTTTTTGTAAAAAAAAAAAGTATTAAAAGTTATACCAGAATATAGTACCTTGCAAGAAAATGAGAAAATTAGATATCTTCACTGCCCATCAAACCCAACAGAAGTCAAAAGCAGGGGTCCTTGATTAAATAGACATAAGACCCGATTGTTTACATTTCATTTGTATAGAAATGGATTTGCTTTGTCATCTGGCCAAAGACCACAATTAATGATCCCGTGATATTTACAGTTTTCGGAACATCTCTTGACTTGTCTATAGGGGTATGGATGTGTATTAGCTAAATTTGTAAGATGTTGGGGAGCGATATTTCTGAATGTTTGATATATGTTTAGACTAGTACTATACTTTACACACACAAAATATTTGACAAAAAGAACCGGTGCATTTTTTTTAATGAAACAAAACGTTATAAAGAACTAATAGAGAATTTAATTGTGGTCTGTGGCCATCTTACTGTTAAGGGATCTGTTTACCGTGTTTGTTTTCTCTGTTTATGTTAATTTTATTATAAATCTTTATGATTAACATGACAATAAAGTATACATGTATGTAGTTGTGTTATTGATGATATTATGGTATAATGATTAAATTATTCTTTAATGTTAAATTCAATTAAAGAAATTACAAAATGCTTGACATTTATCTATTTCGTTACCAAACTATTTTTTCCCTTTTAAGAATAGATAGTTGAAACGCTTTAAGCGAACTTTTTAGTGCGAGATACCGTTGTATTTTGCAAAAGTTTTAGACCACTGTGCTTATGTTCTCACGTATACAGGAGGTTTTAATTTTTTTATTTTAAGAATTCATTTTTGAAATGCTTTAAGCACACTTTTAAATGCGAGATACCGTTTTATTTCGCAAAAGTTTTAGATCACTGTGCTTATGATCTCAGGAATACAGGAGATTTTAAATATATATATATATATGAAAAAAATAAACTTGCGGAAAAGATGGTATACCGCAAACATGAGGTGCAAAAGTTGGTACACCATATCCGGATTTCGACAATTAATGTCTCTTCAGTGATGTTAGGAATCGAAACGGTATTTGGAAGTCCATATAATTTACCACAATTTAGGATATATATATATATATATAGGGATACTGGTTCGGCTGTAACGGCGTAAACTGTATAAATCTGTACATTCTAAAGAGGGAATAAACTTATAATCCGTAGTTTATATACAGATGCTTTATTGTCTGTAGTTTAAAGTAGTCTTGCATATGACCGTTGTCCTTGACCTCATTTTCATGGTTCAGTGATTGCATTAAACAAAACCATTTTCATCATGTGATTTCCCCGTTATTATGACTGATGGAGTTATTGAATATCAGCTTCACAGATAACGACGGATATGTTCCAATTGTCGTAACCACAATCCCATCCTCTTTTCCTCGAATGTGCCCTACCGAGTTAGACTTTTCATCGGGTTTGTACTTGCATGAGCAACACGACGAGTGCCACGTGTGGAGCAGGATCTGCTTACCCTTCCGGAGCACTGTTTAAACCTTTTACTGTTTTATTGGTCTTAATGCATTTAAGTGAAGAAAAATCTGAATTCAGTAGATGCTTTAACATTATGAGAGAACAGAACTATGTGTCTATGGGACACCAAGCCCGCTCGGACTGTCACATTTCCGTATTCAGTCGTGAAGTCGGGATCAAAACCGTAATTTGACATACAATTTAAGAAGTTCACATCATAATGAACATGCGTACCAAGTTTGAAGTTAATGTGAACTTGACCAAAAACTTTAACATTGGAATGTACCGTGAAATCAGGGTCAAAACCCTTCTTTGGTGAATGATCTAAAAGGTTTATCATAATGAACATGTGTACTTAGTTTCAGTTAAAGTGACAATAGTTACATTCATGGTAAACTACCTTGTCCAAAACTTAACCTGATACGAGACTAGCGGATGGACTGAATAACTAACAGATACACAGACCAGGAATAATAATGCCCCGCTACTATCGTATGCGGGGCAAAAACATGTACAGCACTGCACATTTTTTTTATATGCATCATTTATGTTCACTGTAGGATTTTGAAATGTTTGAAAGTCAAATGTACTGTAAATTCTAATCCATTCTAGTGTACACAGAACTTTAAAAATCGATTTACGATCGAATTTCTTCTTTAGGAAATATTTTGAATTTTCTCTTTTTGTTAGTTTTTGGGTTTTTTCGTAAGAGGAAACTATTAGAATAAAATTCGTAAGGGTTCCGCGGAACCCAGTGTCTCGCCTACTTTTGCTGTTAATCGCAGGCTCAACAAAAATGAGGAAAAAAAATTAATAAAAATATTCCTCTCTATACTATCTTTCGATTGTAAGTAGCTTCTGTTTTAAGATTTTAACTGCAGACTGTATGTAATGTTGACTGGAAGAAAAACTAAGTCCATTTATAAGTAAAATACGGAAAAAATGGAACAAAATTTTATCAAAATTTCCTTCTAGATACTCGCTTTTGATCATAAACAAGCTTCTGTCCAAGTGTGGTACAAATCCAGGATAGTTTAAGAAAGTTGATAAAATTTTAAAAACTTTAACCACAGGGTAAATGTAATGCTAACTGGCAGAAAAACTAAGTCCATTTATAAGTAAAATACGGAAAAATAGATTTTTTTTTCTTCAAAATTTACTTCTGGATACTATCTTATGATCATAAACAAGCTTCTTTCCAAGTTTGGTAGAAATCCTTGATAGTTTAAGAAAGTAATTAAAATTTCAAAAACTTTAACCACAGAGTGAATGTAATGTTTCCTGGCAGAAAAACTAAGTCCATTTATAAGTAAAATAAGGAAAAAATGGATTTTTTTTTTACAAAATTTACTTTTGGATATAATCTTATGATCATAAACAAGCTTCTGTCCAAGTTTGGTAGAAATCCGGGATAGTTTAAGAAAGTTATTAAAATTTCAAAAACTTTAACCACAGAGTGAATATTTGTGGACGCCGCCGACGACGCCGACGACACCGACGGAATGTAGGATCGCTATGTCTCGCTTTTTCGACAAAAGTCGAAGGCTCGACAAAAATCATATTATGCATTTCTTCATATAAGCTTATTTAAAATTATAGATTGACGATTAACGGATAAGTCAGAGGGCCCGAGAACACAGTTATTTCGTAGTGCATTTCTTTTAGACAGTAAATTCAAATTAAAAAAATCGCACCTGCTCTATCTCAAAAAGATTTTTACAGTGTAGTGAACTACTATTGATACAAATAATATCAAAATTATAGAAACTTCTACCAGCTCTAACTCAAAATATTGACAATTCTGTGTTAAGGGGGGCTAAAATTCAGTTTGACAGCTTCAGACATTCTAATTTTTGACCTTTTTTAACTGGACTAAATCACTACTTAACATAAAGATTCAGCACCCAAATTTTTATAACATGTAATTTCATCCCCTTACTTAATATTTCATGCATAAAATATCAAGAAATAAATTGGGAAAGTGTATAAAAAAAAAATGCAAGTTATACACTGTTTATGTAACAGAAAATTTGGTCCGGTAGTAAAATTTGTCCGCCAGACTTTTTTTCCTAGTTAATCAAGTCCATGACCATTATTTTACTAGGAATTTAAGTCCCAGGACAAATTTTACCTAGGAAAATAAGTCCATAGCTAGTAAAATATGTCTGGCACTTATTTTCCTAGGTAAAATTGTCCTAAGACATGTTTTTCTAGTAGTTTTTATTATATTTTAAAAATTATTGAAAATAAAAAAAAAACATTTTCTTAGTTAAGATTGGAAAGTTTCATTAATTTTTCCTATTAAAATAAAAGGTCATTGCCGGACGTTATAACCTAGGCATGTTAATGACATGGACATGATTTCCTAGGAAAATTAGTCTGGGGACATAAATTTTATCAAAATATTAATACACAACTCTTAAACAATATTAAAACATAACATTTAAATTTAACTTTCAAAATAAAGGGAATGGACGTTATTACCTAGGAATATTAATGACATAGACATGATTTCCTAGGAAAATTAGTCTGGGGACATGAATTTTATTAAAATATTAATGCACAACTCTTAAACAATATTAAAACATAAAAATTGAATTTCCATTGTTAACATGTAAATAATTTGTTTCATTAAAATTTTCCTTTTAAAATAAATGGCATGGACGTTTTTACCTAGGAATATTAATGACATGGACATTTCCTAGGAAAATTAGTCTGGGGACAAACATTATATTAAAAAAGTTGATACACAACTCTTAAACAATATTAAAACATAACATTTATATTTACCTTTTAAAATAAAGGACATGGATGTTTTTACCTAGGATTATTACATTGGTAGCATTGAATTACATTGATTTCCCAGTCAAATAAAAACCGATAATTTCACATGTGAAATAAACGTGGTTATTTCACTCTCTGACGTCATACAACAATAGGCGTTGTCAAGACGTCGATAACATCGGATCAAAACAAATTGTGAATGCGTAGAAAAAAGATATAGTTCGTTACATTTTCTACATTAATTTTATTAAAAAAAGCCATTTGCCAATATAATAAAAAGAATAACTAATCAAAGAATTCAAATATCGAAAAATATTCAACTCGTGACCGAACAACACTGATAATTAACTCATGCGCTACGCGCATTCGAGAATTAATGTGTTGTTCGGTCACTCGTTGAATATTTTTCTCTATTTGAATTCTTCGATTAGTTATTCTATAAATATTAATGACATGGACATGATTTCCTAGGAAAATTAGTCTGGGGACAAACATTATATTAAAAAAGTTGATACACAACTCTTAAACAATATTAAAACATAACATTTATATTTACCTTTTAAAATAAAGGACATGGATGTTTTTACCTAGGAATATTAATGACATGGACATGATTTCCTAGGAAAGTTAGTCTGGGGACATGAATTTTATTAAATATATAAATACACAACTCTTAAACAATATTAAAACTAAATATTTAAATTTCCAATACTGTTTAAATGTAAATGAATTGATTCATTAATATTTTTCCTATAAAAAAAAAAGGACATGGACGTTTTTACCTAGGAATATTGATGATATGGACTTGAATTCCTAGGAAAATTAGTCTGGGGACATAAATTACTAACATTGGACTAAAAATACTAGTAAATTCTGTAACCATGGACTTTTTATACTAGTAATATGTGTCCGCCTGGACATATTTTACCAGGACAAATTTATCTCTTACATTTACACTAGGGACTATATTCGATAACTGTGTCCTTGGACCAGAGTGATCCAGGTGAGTTGTACGTAGAATGTATTTACACTGAATTGACAAGTAATAATTAGGTCACAGTTCATACGAATACAACCCGACTATGTTAGCATTTCAGAGGTATTTAAAAGATTATTATTGTTGTAAAATACTTTAAAATAATTGCATGGTATACAAACAATAAAATATGAAAGCATGCAGACATGACAACAGCGATGCTGCTCCTTTCAATATGTAATTCACGGTAATCCCGGCAGGGATAATGTTAACTTTTATATAAAAAAAAGTCATGTAACCCTA